CATGTTGTATAAGATCTGGGTGGAATCTTTGTGCTGTCCATTCCTACAAAATAGGATTAATCATACCCCAGTAGATGACTCACTACCACACATCTGAAGACAGCAAGAATTAATAGCAGTTCTAGCCAGCTGGCCGAAGAAATCCTCAACTTGGGTCACCTTATGAATCTTTCAGACCAATCCCTCCACCCTTCTTCGCTGTCCCAAGGGTTCATTCTTTCTATCTTCACCTCTATGAATAAGTGTCAACTCTGATCAGCAACAAAAGTTGGATGCTAAAAGCAAACTGAGGAAGTGCCAATTTCTAAAGTCTTTGAAGGCTGTGTTGTGTCAAGCCTTCCGAAGAACCTCTCACCTACATCCAAGCCAAACATTATAGACAGGGCCTAGTGCAACACTGTGTTTTCTGCGGTTTTAAAAGAGAATTTTAAAACCAAATCCAATCTCTTATTGATGACCTTTGAACCATTAGCCACTGTTGGGTAGTCGAAATGAAACAAGTACAGGTATTATTGCTTATCTTCAGGGTGGATCTACTCACCAAAATCGTTGGTTGAAAAGTAAAAAAATAAAAAATAAAGCCGCCAAAGCAGTTTTCGGTGTCATGTAGACAAAAATGTGCAGAAACAGTGTATACCTGCACACAGAATTCAGGAAGCTGGTTTGTATCAAAAGATGAAACCTAGTTTTAAATGTATGTAGTCCATTACATAGGATGTTCAAAAGAAAGCTACTCTTTGGGGAGGGTCAGACACAAATGACAGATCAAACTAAAGAGGAAGATTGCTTTTTAAAGAGATGGAGCCAGGCATGGTGGCTTATGCCTGTAATCCCAGCACTTTAGGAGACCAAGGCAGGAGGACTGATTAAGCTCAGGAGTTAGAAACTAGCCTGGGCAACTTAGCAAGACCTTGTCTCAACTAAAAGTAAAAAAAAAAAAAAAAAAAAATCAGCTGGGCATGTTGGCTCATGCCTGTAGTCCCAGCTAATCAGGAGGCTGAGGTGTGAGGATCGCTTGAGCCCAGGAGTACAAGGCTGCAGTGAGCCATGATTGTGCCACTGCACTCCAGCCTGGGCGACAGAGTGAGATCCTGTGTCAAAAGAATAAAACAAAATTTAAAGACATGGAGTTATCAAAGCTAATCAGAAGAAGAGATTTAAGCATCATGCTCAACACTGAAACCCAGCGTCTATCAGTTAGTATCAGTATCTGTCTTCAATGCTGAAAATCCACATGATTGGAAATGATTCTGTCTTGGTGTTGAGTGGCTACCATCAAGTCAACCAGTGATCCAAATCATTCAAATACTGTGCGAGAAACTAGTCATGAGAAGCTTGACTTTTTTTTCATCAAATATGTCTCAACCTCATTTGGACAGAAATCGAAAATGACATTTGAAACTGTAATCCGTTAATACGTAGTCTGGTTCTTTCCGAAGGTTGCAAGGTTTCCAAGTTCTGAAACTCATAACTAACTAACCATATGGAAACAGAATGTTCTACAAATCTTGGCTTCCCAAATATTGTCGGAGTATGAGTGACTTTCATTGACACTGTGCAGGAACATACTTGCAGGCAGTCATCCTTATCTGGCCATACTCCTTGCCAGCGCTAGCCCTTTCCTCTCATAAGACGAGTCTCCTTACTAGGACAAGATCACTGAATGTTAAATTTCCACCACCAAACCTTTGCTCTTGCTGCTTCCTCACCCCATAAAAAGTGCAGGCTTTGCTTATCCTTCAAGATCCATCTCTGATTCCACCTGATATGGTTTCAGTCTGTGTCCTCACCCAAATCTTATGTTGAATTGTAATCCCCAGTGTTGGAGAAAGGGCGTGGTGGGAGGTAATTGGATCATGTGGGCGAATTTCCCCCTTGCTGTTCTCATGATAGTGAGTTTTCATGAGACCTGGTTGTTTAAAGGTATGTAGCACCTCCCACTTCGCTCTCTTCCTTCTGCTCCAAACATGTAGGGACATGCCTGCTTCCCTGTTTTCTGGGCGACAGAGCGAGACCCTATCTCTTTCTATATATATATACTTTTTTTTCTAAATTATTCCTATGCTTTTATGCTGGTCAAATTCATTTCTGGTCAATACAAAATACACCATGATTGTAAGTTTCCTGAGGTCTCTCCAACCATGCTTTCTGTACAGCCTTTAGAACATGAGCCAATTAAACCTCTTTTCTTCAAAAATTACCCAGTCTCACATAGTTCTTTATAGCAATGTAAGAACTGACTAATACACCACTTTCCCATGAAACTTTCTATGACTACTCCCCCAATTGGGATCTCTGCAATTTCTCATAGCCCATGGGACTTATCATTGATATAACAGAAGTTGAGACTCTTTGTTGGTCTTGCTGTCCCTACTTACTACTCTGCTCTAGTCCATTCTCTAATCATATCCTAACTGCCACAGCTCAACTCCCAAATGAATCCCTCAGAGAACAAGAGTGGGCTTGAAAGTCAGACTGATGTGTCTTCAATGTGGAGCCCTTCTACTTTTTCTAGGTCTGAGAATGGTTGCAATACCCACTTGGAGCTTCTCTCAGCTTCTTCATCCACTAGAAACAATGGTACCCATATCACAGGGTTGTTATGAGAGACATTTGTAATGTGACAATGGCACAAAGCATGGTACATATTAAGCAGGTTTAATAAATGGTAGATATGTCTGTACTTCCCCATATACTGTGCAGGATACAGAATTGGTAATGGGTCATAACTTGAGTAATGAATGTATTTTCAGTGCAGTATCCCTGATCATTGGATTATAAAATAATAATTCTGGAGTTATAAGGCTGGGAAAGGTTATAAGATATCATCTTACTATAATGTATTTATTGATATGGAAATATGTTCACAAACTACCATTAAACCAAAAAGGCACTTTCTTAAATAGCAAAGTTGGGATCTGTATGCATTTGGCCACATGTGTGTGTACCTTTGTGCATACATAAAATATCTTTATCTATACCCGTATAGTTAGATTAAGAAGTACACACTAAACAGTGGTTAACCAAAATGTTAACAATGGTTATCTCTGATTAATAGGATTGTAGACCATTTATTGGTATTAATAAATTAAATATGTATTATGAATATGTACTATTTATATTATATAATTGTTCTTATCTGTATTAATTTTTCTGTGTTAATTTTTTATTATGAACATGTACTACTTGTGTAAATAAGGCATAATACATGATTTTTTAAATGCCATATATATAATTAAAGTATGAATAGAGAAAGGGGCTTGGAGGTAGGGAAAATGCAAAATTAAAAAAGCAACTTTTTAGGGTCATGGGATTAGGGGTGCTTTCTCAGTCCCCACATTTTCTGTTTTATCTTTCACTTGTTTCTTGTTTCATGACCTTTACAAGAGTTTTAGTTTATACAAATTATTTTCTAGGCCAGATGCAGTGGCTCATGCCTGCAATCCCAGCATTTTGGGAGGCTGAGGTGGGAGGATCACTTGAGCCCAGGAGTTCGAGACCAGCCTGCCCAACATGGTGAAACCCAATCTTTACCAAAAAATACAAAAATTAGCCAGGTGTGGTGGTGTATGTGTATAGTCCCAGCTACTTGGGGGACTGAGGTAGGAGAATCACCTGAGCCTGGAAGGTCGAGGTTACAGTGAGCTGTGATCATGCCACTGCACTCCAGCCTGGGAAACAGAGTGAGACCCTGTCTCAAAAAAATAAAATCATTTTCTAAATTATTCCTATGCTTTTATGCTGGCGAAATTAATTTCTAGTCAATACATAATCAGGCTGTTATTAACAAGGCAGTATTCTAAGAAGGGAATCTTCTTCAACATCTAGAATTATCAAAATGTATAAAATGGACTGACTATGTCTTGACCAGTCTGTTAACTGGCTTCTTTCTGGTGGACCCCAGTTATTTTGACTCTGGTACTCAGTGTCATGTGGATCCTGCCTAGAGTTTCCCAATTGTTCCACAGCTCTGGGAACTGAAAAGCTCTTGTGCTGGTGGCCAGAGAGGGAGAGAAGCCTCTGCATGTGTGCATCAGCCTATTGGAGTTGTCTTTTGTGAGGCTAGAAGCATGGTGCCTGCCAGAGCTGTGAGTAGCCCTGGGATGCAGACTGTCCTTCCTTCCCATCTGCTCTGCCAGCAATTGTCCTGTCCCAGTAAGTACCTTCCCCTCTATGCCACCCTGTCATGGTGGCCAGCTCAGGACTGGGATGTGGAGCTCTTATTCACAACCCATATGAATGCAAACTGGATTTGTAGCACAGGTAGAGGAAAAAATGGGGCCAAGGACAGGGGACACAGGATAGAGTTGGAGAAAGTCTGTTCTTTTTTCTATTGACTTTAGGAACAGGTGACTGTATGGTTACAGTGGCTGCCTAGATTTTAAACTCAAGCTTGTTTTACAGTTTCAACACAATTGGAAAATATTTGTTGAGTACTTACTATTTGCCAGACACTTAGTGATATGGTTTGGCTGTTCCCCCACCCAAATCTCATCCTGAATTGTAGTTCTCATAATCCCCACCTGCCATGGGAGGGACCTGGTGGGAGGTAACTGAATCATGGGGACAGTTACCTCCATGCTGTTCTCATGATAGTGAGTTCTCACGAGATCTGATGGTTTTATAAGGGGCTTTTCTCCCTTTTGCTTGGCACCTCTCTTCCTGCTGCCATGTGAAGAAGGGTATGCCTGCTTCCCCCTTTCCACCATGATTATAAGTTTCCTGAGGCCTTTCCAGTCATGCTGAACTGCAAGTCCATTAAATCTCTTTCCTTTACAAATTACCCAGTCTCGTGTATGTCTTTATTAGCAGCATGAGAATGGACTATACACTTAGCTATACTAAGGAGATACACTGGTGAACAAAACAGACACAACTCCCTTCCCTCATTGACTTTGTATTATACTGTTGTAGAGATTCTCTCAAACCTGATGATGGCTTTCCAATTCTGATCAAAACAGAAAATAATGTAATGAACTCTGGATTAAGAATCATCTGAGACACTTACCTGGCAGTGGAAATACCATGATCACAAAGGTGGTTTATCCATGGCCAGCCTTATCCATTGCACTCAGATGTGCTGACCCCTGCAATTTCCCAAAATGTGAAAAACTTGACTGCATCATTTGTGATAGTGGGACTTTTGTTCACACTTGCCCTGAGGAAAAAGAAAAAGAAAAAGGAAACAGACGAGCACATTCAACATTTCTCAGTGGTGTGGTAGATCTCTAGGGCTTTATCTCCTTGTCTCATTCAGAGTGTGCTTCTTCCAGGAAATAGGCATTTACATTATGAACACTTACTTTGATCTATTCTGCATGGTCTTTGATATCCTCTGTCATTTTGGAAAATAGCCCCAGAATCCAGACTTTCAGCTTTTGGGACAAGGTAAGCATAGCGAGTAGACAAAATTCCTTTCACCAAGAGGTGGAAGAAAGTGTAGTCTGTTTTACTACATATAGATGTAATGAGGTGGAAGAAAGTGTAGTCTGTCTTATTACATATAGATGTAATGCTGGGAGTATAATTTTCTAATAACAGTAAAAGAGAATGTTATAGAAGATATACAGCCTGCTAAAGAAGAATTATTTTATATAAAATGTAACTATGTCACAACGTGATTATATCTTTGTTCTTTTTTGTTTACCTGTTTTAGAGACAGGCTCACTGTGTTGCCCAGGCTGGAGTGCAATGGTGCAATCATGGTTCATTGTAGCCTTGAACTCCTGGGCTCAAGTGACCCTCCCACCCCGGCTTCATAAGTAGCTGGGATTACAGGTATGTGCCCCCATGCACAGATAATTTTTAATTTTTTATAGAGATGGAGTCTCACTATGTTGCCCAAGCTGGTATGGAACTCCTGGGCTCAAGTGATCCTCCTGCCTCAGTCTCCTAGAGTGTTGAGATTACAGGAATGAGCCACTGTGCCCAGTCTATCTTAGTTTTAAGACTGCTAAAGGGTGGGACTTTTCGGCAAGTACTTAACTAAGATGTCCCATATTTAGTCGAGATCTTTTCCCAGATTGGCTTAGAAAATATGAGTTTGTCCATTTGTCAGTTTTCTTTGGTGAGGGGTTGTGTCTGTGTGTGTGTGTGTAGGGGGGTATATTCAAGAATATAGACAGTTTTTTGTTCAGAGAACATGGCCTGAAGCTTATAACAATGCTTTATCAAACCCCCTGGCACTGGAATCCAATCACTGATTTTTATTAAACTTTGGAGCTTTTGAAATTCTCACTGAGCTGAGGTCAGAGCTGGTGAAGCGCTGCCCCACTGCATGCCCTGATAACAACAGCCTCTTGGTATATCATCTTAATGGCCAATGGAACCTCCTCCTCTTCCTCCCCACCATGACTGACATTTTCAGAAATGCCCCAAAATGGCACTAAACGATGTGCAAACACACTAGATGGATTGCTAATCTCTTTTCGAGGCTTTCTTAATGGTGCATTCATAGCTCCTTGGAGCAAACTCAATTTCTCTCTGTGCACTCTATTTTCACTTTTACAATTTTAGAAGAAATCATTTTGGCAAATATATTTTGTGATTTGGATGAGAGGTAATTTATACAATTGCTTTACCTAGTATGACAACAAGCAGCAACTCCAGTCACAGGAGGATGAATGGCTATTCATCAATCACAGCTGAGACACATAAATGGGTCTGCAGCCTTTTATGTGGCTGAAACCATGAACTTGGGGGCTACTTAAGGCAAATCTTGTTTCTTTGTGGGGAGGGCAGTGCATATAGAAACAAAAGTCAGCTCTTTGGATCTTCACCTTTATATTAATCACCAGATCTTAAGAGAGCCTCAAATGAGCCCAACAGAGAGGATACAACTTTAATGGTACAAATGACACAGTGCTAAGGGTGGGCACTGCCAGGTCATCCATGCCAGGGATGCACCTGTGGCCCCGATCCCTGAGGGTGATTGGGCAAATGAGTGATGCGAGATGATAATTTCTCTCAATGGACCAGTCAGCACATCGCATATTTTTCCTGGGAGTGCCTGTTGTCACCCCCAATGAAATTCCCAAATCTGCCCAGAAGATGTTGCTTTACACCTCAGGCCCAGCAGAAATTTTAACATTTTTGAACACACATACACAAGTACACACAATCACACAGAAAACACAGCCTTGGATGGAGGAGCTCTTATCTATGCAGCTTCATGGGTTTCCTCTACACCAGTGGTTTACAACTATGGCAGCACATTAAAATTTCCTGGGAAGTTTTTAAAATTCTCAAATGTCTAGGCCCGCCACAGACCAATTGAATCACAATTGTTAGGGGTGGGACCCAGGAGCCAATATTTTTCTTGAGCTCACCATGTTATTCTGATGTGTGACCGAGTCTGTGAACCACTGCTTTAAGCAGTTAAGGCCGATAAAGGAAATGGGTCTCTAACTTTAGTGCATACTGGAATCAACTAGGGAGCTTGTTAAAATGCAGATTCAGTAGGTCTGGGCTTGGGGCCTGAGATTCTACATTTTTAACAAGCTCCTTAGGCAATTTTGAGGATGGTGGTCCATAGACCACATGTTGAGAACCCTGGCTAGAGAATTCTACTCTGGAGCTTGCATGTTTCCCAAGCCTCTTCTATTATTTAATTTCATAATGGTCCTCTCCTCTCAAACAGCTTCCTCTTCTGCCAGTGCATATGTGGGAGGGTATAGTCCCTGGGCGGATAATCAGTTCAGTAAATTCAGAACCTTCACCTTGTAGTATCCAGAAGAGTCAAGACAATACATCAAAGGGATGCGGAGGCATGGGGTTGGGTTTGGAGATGGACAGAGCAACAGGAAAGAGGAAAGGGACTAGTTTTAGTCTAGTAGGTACTGGAAGTGAAATTCAGATTTGGAGTTAGGAAGTCACTCTGGGCGGGGTGCGGTGGCTGATGCCTGTAATCCCAACACTGTGGGAGGCCAAGGTGAGAGGATTGCTTGAGGCTAGGAGTTTGAGACCAGCCTGGGCAACACAGTGAGACTCCATCTCTACAATTCTTTTTTTAAATTAGGTGGGCATGGTGGTGTGTGCCTGTAGTCCCAGCTACTTGGGAGGCTGAGGTGGGAGGATTGCTCGAGGCCAGGAGTTCAAAGCTGCAGTGAGCTATAATCACATCACTGCACTCCAGCCTGGGCAACAGAGAGACCCTGTTCCAAAAAAGAAGAAGAAAAGAAAGAAAGAAAATAAGGAGAAGGAGAGGACATAATTCCTGTCTTGGATAGTCAGAGTTGGGAAGATCAGTCCCTGCAGCACACCACCCAAAAGGTAGGATATACTCAACCTGGGCCTAGACAAAGACATCCTACCAAGGGTTCTGGAGGGTGCCTACATAGTTACCTCTTCTACCTATACAGCCCCCACCTGTACAGCATTGTTTTCTTGTCCAGTTTTTCTGTTTTTGCTGAACCCCAGGAAAACATTCTGAGTATTGCTGCTGCCAAGCAACTATAAGATAAAGGGAAAGGGATGAAGTGGGGAGGGACCGTAGCCATGAGAAAGAGATCTTAAGTGTATCTTGTAATTGCATATGCTCACTGGATAGTTATCCATTCTTCTGTGTATTTTACTGCCCATTCCACAGACTCAACTGATGTGGAATTAGAGTGCACAGCCCTTAATGCCAGGTAACAAGCAAAATGCTACATGGAAAGAGTATGGATTTTGCAGGTAGACCGGGCTCCCATCCCACCTCTGCCACTTAAAAATGGTGTGGCCTCCCCATGTCCCCCATCCAATAGTAACACCTCTGTTGAGTCTCTCTGTTGGGGGTGGGAGAGCATGAAATTAGAAAAGGCTTCAGAGAGGAGGTCGAAGAGTGGAGTAAGATTTCCATGGCACAGATAGGAGGAAAGAACTTCCTAGGAGGAGGCAAGGATATGCAAAAGACTGGAAAGGATGGTTCCTGTACTGTTAGAATTTGTTACTGGCATCAAACCAGGTGGCTGCCGTACAGTACTTTGTTGTTGTCTACCATATTTGTTTTCAACTTGTAGTTTGCATTTAGCTTGCTCTGACCAATCAGGAGATGGGTATGAGTTACTTTGTTATTTCTTTGCACTGGACTTTGCAGAATATTGGCAACCTAACAAGTGCAAACCCCCAAGTACAAATCTGGGTCCTTTCTACAACATCCAGCCCAGTGCTAACTGATCCCAGTGTTCTCAACACTACATTGCACCCAACTCTAACGTTTTCCCATATTTCTCACCTGGTAGCAGCAAGAGAGCCCATTACCTGTTAGAGAGGGACAGGATCAGTGAACACATGATCACTGATTATCGAGAAGGCTGCATTTGAACTGGATCCTGACAGGTGGGCAGAGATGGAGGGAAAGGACATTCCAGTAGGAGGCTGATTACTCTTAAATAGTGGTCTATAGCACAGACATTGCTGCTAGAGGGTCACGGATTCAAACTCTATTATGGCCATTTCCTAGTTCTACTCATGATCCCCTTCCTCAGTCCTCTCTCACCCCACATCCATTCTCCCAGTAATATAAACACTCTCCTAACTGCCCATGCTCAGTTAGATCTTTGCTTATCCTGTGTATCTGATCTTCAATGCCTGCACAATCCCCTTCCTGTAACCCACTTAGGGTACATGGTCAGAATAGTCAGACCATGACTTACTAGTTGTAAGATGTCGCTTAACTTCTACGAGCTTCAGTTTTCTTATTTGTAAAATGGGGATATTAAAAGCACTCCCTTAGCCAGGCATGGGGGCCTGCTCCTGCCATCCTAGCTACTCACAAGGCTGAGGTGGAAGGATTGCTTGAGCCCGGGAAGCAGAGGCTGCAGTGTGCTGAGATCATGCCACTGCACTCTAGCCTGGGCGACAGAGACCCTGCCTCAAAACAAACAAACAAAAAGCACTCCCTTACAGGACCGTTGTAGGAATTAAATAAAATACCTTGTGTAAAATTCTTAGCATCATGCCTGGAACACAGCAAAGTCTTAGGATGTTATTTAATATCTCCCTATACTGGAGCTGTTACTATCACCCACTCAAAGAATTATGCTAAGTGCTGGGAATACAGTGAACAAGAAAGACAAAGTACCAACCTCCACCACATGGAGCTTACACTCTAAAAGAGGGAGAGAGTCAATAATAAACAAGCCAGTAAATATACATGACATCAAGTGGTGACAAGTTCTAA